GGCTTTAATGCAGACTCCCTTTTATGAAGATATCAGCCATAACAGCTAAACTGAGGAAGAAAGAAACAAGGACCAGAGAAAGCTTGGGCCATTTTTTACCCTGAGGTGTGGAGAAGCCAGGGCACAGTCTCAACTTGAATTAAAAGCTTGTTCCCAGGGAAGTCCTGGGCTGGTATTTCTGTGCCCTGCCTCTTACATATGTCTGGGAGCAAAGTCACTGTCTTCTCTCAAGGAAGAGTGCTGATAGCAGAAATAAGTCATAGTGATGGGTTTCAAATATTAGGTAGGATCAGGTGCAGAATCACTTTTTTGTCTACTAGAATGGCACACAGAAAACTTTTCAGATAGTTCATTCATACCTATTTTGCAATGGAAAGAAACATCCTTTCTGAACATGAAGATTTACAAGTGATGAGCAGGAAGGAGATTGTGAATCAGAGCTGCATACAAACCTGGGATACTGTTCTCTTCAAGAACGAATTACCAGGCTGGCTATTCCAGACCTCCTAAATCTCAGCTGAAATCACACCTTATCAGGGAAATAATAAGAACAATGGGAGAATTTAGGAGCTCTACCTTCCTTAAAACAAGACAAATAAGACAAAGTGTTACTAAACAAAACATTGAGTTTTGAAATGCTATTGTTTTTCGTCACTGTATTGAAAATGAATGAAGCTCATTGTCAAGGATAAGAGCATTCTCTGAGCCATATACATGTAACTATAATTTGTACTTCTACCTTTGGATAGTTTCATTATTTTTTATAATATCCTACCTGCCATTCAAATCTAAAACAAATAATGAATAATGTAAAATCAATTGCCTAGAAATAGGTTTACTTATAAAAATCCATTGAGTCAGGCTAACCTGGCTCTTTTTTTTTTTTTTCCTTCCTCATTCCTGTTCAGGAACTTTTTTAAATCTTGGGCTCCCAGACAATTTAAATCCAGCAACAAACTTACAGACTTCATTTGATCAAACAGACTGATGTGAATGATAAATTTTTCAGTTTGCTGAAACATCCAATCCTGACAAGTTTGAGATACTCTGAATGGTTTCAGGGGTATCTCTTGGGGCGAGATTGCTTTTTATAGCTTCTTAGCTATGAAAAAGCCATACTCAAAGCACGCTGAAGGATAATATGCAGCTCATGGATAAGTCTGCATAATGGCCTCTGTTAGCAGGCCACCCATTTTACCAGTGCCATAATAGCTCTGTTGATTATGGTTGTTGATTTTCATATTTAAATTCAGTAATACATCTTAATTACAATTATGATCACCTCTAGTGATGCAGAAGCTACACTTTACACTCTGATGAACTACAGGAACATTCACAAAATTGATCACATACAAGAAGAAAACAGTATTTCCTATAACGTTACCATAAACTTTTTCAAATACATTGTGACTTAGCATTGCTATTATGAATTTCTAAATAGTGTGACAACTGCATATCTTTGGTACTTCTCAGCCTGCAAACAGCAATCCGTTCCATTTAAGAGCATGTTCTCAGCTGTTTGGCATAAGCACCTTGCAACACAGGTCTTTCTTTCTTAAGATAACTTGCAGAGTTAACAATTGTAAGGTTTTTTCACTTCATTTTTGTTAATATATAAAATGTAGCAATTTACAACATTTCAAGTCTTTCAAAGACTAATGACTGATTTACAGGGAAACTAAAAACCGAGTCACTTTTCAAATTTCTCTTGTGCCTTTTTCACCCTTGCAGAAGTCAGACTGGATGAAACCTTCATCCATATGCATTGTGAAAACACTTTTGAGCCTAAAAACTGGTAGAGGGAAAAAGTGCAATACCACTAACTTCAAAGCAGCAAGCCTTTGAAACCCATCAAACGAAGAGAAATCATAAGGCTTTTTCATCAAGAACTGTAGACATGGTGGCAAGATACCCCATAAATATCTCCAGATTGATGCCTCTAACAATTAGTTTCTACACCAATGAACATCCAAGCAAAACAGAAATTTGATGGAAATGTTGGGGGCTTTAGTTTCTTTGTCTCTTCTAATCAGTATTTCAAATAGTTTCATTTTTGTCCCTTAAAAACACAATGTATTTTTAATCCTTCCCTGACTCCATAAGAATCCTATAGGACTATAGAACTCAGGCACATACACCTAGACCTCCACTCTAAACTGGACCATGGTGAGGTCCTCTCACAGTATCACCATGTTTTTAACAGAAGACTAAAAATATGAGAGAAGCAGCTTGCCCCTGATCAGTTCACTGTTCTGACTCAAAAAGCATTTGTGCACTTTTCTTACAGCATACCCTGGTTCTGCCCTCCTCAGGGACCAAAGACGAGAGGGAAGCAAACCACTACAGACAGCCTAAGGCTGTAGGCTATGACCCATAAACCCAGAACTCTGGCTTTGTGATGTGTAATTCCGCTTCCCAAAACAAAACAAATAAATAAACAACAAATAAGACTGAAATAGGATATTCCACCTACAGTGTTCTTTCTGTCATAACAATCTTTGTTGACACAGCAATGCCAGAGAACTCTGAAACTGCAGCACCTGGAAAACCATGAGCATGCTCTAACTCTAGCACCCCGACAGTTCTCATACGTTACCCAAAGTGGCACCACTCAAACCTTTGCCATCTGAGGTCACAGGGTGTTGAGGCATCACAAATACAATTCCCAAAGCCTATTGCTGTACGCAAGCAAAACAGCTTGATGCCAGCTTACAGCTGACACAGTTATCTCCTTTGTCTAAGTAAAAATGTAAGAATGCACCAAGTATAAAAGAATTGCCTGCATGGTTACCCTGGGCAAATCATGTATGTGATTCTATGTGCCTATACATGTGATATATGATAATATGGAAAGATGTTAACATGAGGTAAAAATAATCTTTTACATGATGGGCAATAAAAAACTTGTTTCCCCCATGGAAATCAGATCTGTTTAATACAAAAGAAAAGGTCAATCTTCCAATTTTCTTTTGAAAAAAGAAATAATAAACCAGAAGGTTTGGGGTGTTTCTGACCAGCCTTAAAAATTACTGGTTTTGTAAACTATTTCAGCTTCTAGAGATAAACATGCTATTTAGAACCCATTGTGTCTAAAGATTCTTTGCTAACCATATCATCCTGAACTCTGAGCTTTCAATTTCATATCCTTTGAATTAGTAGATCAATGCAAGGTACATCAGCACAAAAATTCCTTAAAGTACAGTAAAAACATTCAAAAGTTTAAGTCAATAGACTACACGACTTTTTTTTTTTCAGTGACTTGTACAAGATGTCTCATCAAGTGCCAAAAAGATTCTCTCACCTGGTTAAATTTAAATGAGAAGTTTTTCCTGTCTACAGAACAAATGAAAACTAAGTATCATTAATCTTTGATACTGTGGAGTCTACTGGTATTTATATCCTACCAAATTTGTGCTCTGTGAAGCTTCTGAAACCTCCCAGTGCATCATTTCATACCAAAAGTCAGGAACAAGTCACTTGCACCCCAAGAAAAACATTCACAGCCATTAAAATCGTGACATCTAGTTGAACGCTTTCTTGTCTAATTAGGTTCACAGATCAATAATAGAAATGCACACTTTATAATTTGGTACCAAAAAAAGACAAGATTGTCAGACATGCATGCACTTCAAGAACAGAAGAGAAGATATTGCTGTTTAAATTGAAGTTATACTGAATCGACTTAAATTTCCCTCTCAGCACTGTATCTATCTTCTTATTTGATGATGTACACAAATATGATTCCAAATGTTCTTCTCATACATTTCTAGCTCATCTGGAAATTAGAAACCAATTAAAACTAACAAGAACATTTGTATTTTCAACAGTTTTTCCGAGAAAGAGATCTGGATATATCTCTTGACAGCTGAACTGAACTCTATCCTGAAAATAATCTGATACTCAATATTCTAGTAGGGAGGAGGATTTTGTTGGTTTGTATTGCAGGATTTAAGGTTTAATCGAATAATACTCCTAAAACCCCACTCTAACACACTTAGCATACACACAAATGACTTGCATGGTTTCCCACCTCATTGTAACACAACACTGGCACTAATTAATATGTTAAATGGTAATTCCTACAGATTAAGCCAAGAATAGAATAGCCAAAGAGGAGTTGCTTGTGTGGGCCTACTGGCACTAGCCAGGATGGGATAAAAGTGTGAAACATAGTCCAGGTGAGAGGAACAGGATTTTCTTTTGTTCTTCATTAATCTTAACATCCCCATTTTATCCATGAAAGTTTGGTATCTATGATTCCAGTAGCATTTAAAAAATAAAACAAAAACCAAAAAGCCAACCAACAAACAAAGCCCACAAAAAACCTCTAAATTAGCACAAAAAATCTGTCTTTCTCCTATAGCCTCACTGCTCAGAACCACAGAGAAATCCCTGTTTCCTTTAAATAATCCAAGGATAAATTGGCTTGGAGGCTTCAGAACATTTGAAGTCACAGTGCCCATTCTTGAGATACTAAATAATGCAGTGTAAGAGGAGATTCTTCTGCACAGCAAGGTAAAAGAAGGAAAGACACTGAGCTGAAGGAGGCAATTAAGGTAGGGTTGCAAGGAGACCCTCGGGATGATTTCTGACTGTTTTCTATAGAGTCACACCTCTGACTTTTAAATGACTAAAGACAGAGGAATAGAAAGCTGTGCTTTCTGACTACCACTGATGCTCTCCTGGGGAGCAGCAAGCAGGCGCAGATTAAGGCTAAATAGAGCACTCTTTGGACAAAGGTATCTGACTGCAGATAAACTGCCAGACACACCTCTGCTGTTTGCAGTCTCTAGGGTGAGTATGACTAGCACAGGGTGTACAGCAATACACTTCAAGAGTGTCTGGTTGGCCACTGAGTGCAATGCTTTCCCTCACAGTGCTGGCACAAGGCTGAGGCACTTGCAAATACAAGTCCATGGGGGCAAGAGGTGCAGGAACACAACTGGTAGGAAAAGGCCAACAGCTGAAATGTTCTTGATCTGATCTCTTTCCTTTCCCAGGTCATAATATTCAGAGCCCTGGCAAGATATTCTCAGCATTGGGGAAGTCATAAACTACAAGGTGACCTGGCTTCCCCCGAGTATGCTTTATACATCTGACTGCGCTATCTTGGTACGTCTCCCATGAACTACCTATATAACAGCAATCCTCACATGCTGGGATGTCTTAGAGCTTCCTATTAAAGATACCCACTGGAAATGCCAGCACATCAGAAAATGTGACAAACTCTGAATCAGTTTTTATTTTGAGTTCAAGAGCACATTTCTATAGCACTGCCTAAAACACTAATTAAAAAGAGAAATACAGTAATGAGGCCAAGACAAACTATGTTTGGGAGGCCCAAATAAATCTATTGCCTCCTGGATTTTCACATGCACACAGGAGAGCAGGACTTTGGTTTAAGATCATTATTTCTGACAGAATCATTGTTCATGTAGAGGTGGGCTGAGGTATCACTGGGCCATAGGACCCAATTTGCATTCTGATTAGCTTGAATCACAAGTAGAAGTCCATGTCCCAGATGCATGGAGACAAGAGTTCAGGTTACATTTCCATGTCAGAGAAGCAAAGAAGGAGCAGTCGGTTTGCAAGCCAGTGTACCAAGGCTCAGAAATCCATCATGCAAATCGTCACAGAAAGCCTACTCAGCCTGCTCATCTTGTTTGTTAGCTTTAATATGGATCTAGAGAAACTCTTCAAGCTGTACAACTCAAACTATCCACTTGTTTCAAGGTAACAATTTACACTAATGATAGATTGCACAAAGGAGGTGCAGGAGCAGAGGGTGCTGGAAGTGAATACCTTTTTTTCTCCCAAATCATTCCCAAGAATTCTACAGCTCTGATTAAAACATCAGTTTCCGAAACACACAAGACCATACTGTGAGATCTGTATTATCTGATAATTACTAAAAAAAGACAGCTTTTGCTGCTAAGAAATAAACAGCTCAAGCCCAGCTTAACTTCACTTAGCTGTTGGAGCCCCAGGAAAGAATACTTCTCTAAGATTCCTTCGTAGTGGTGGATTCCAGACTGTTCTTTCATAAGGTAAGAGATTTTCTTGCAATACATTTGAAACAAATCAAGAAAAACAAAGCTATGTCCATAAAAAAGATGTTCACAATATGTGATCTGTGTTACTAACTAAAAATATTTAGGGATCCTACCTAGAAAAAAACCCAAACCAAAAAAAAAAAAACAACAAAACAAAACAAAACAAAAACCAAACCCAAATCACCAACAAAATAACCTTCCCCAAAGAATCCAAACAAACAAGAGAAAACCAAAACCAATTGGTCCACTGCTGCAGAATCAGTGAAGACAATTAATTTCCTCAGGTATTTTCTGACTCACATTCTCATACTGGCTTTGTGCTTCCACTGATTAAACAAAGTGCTTAAATAGTTTAAAACCTCAGGTTGATGACATGCATCTCAAACTTCATCACCAGAAGCTCAGAGAGGACAGTGAGTTGCATGATTTGTAGCCACCTTGACCTAAAGAATTCAGTTCATGAGACTGCCGCTGACAAAATCAGAAAGCAGACAGGTTCAGTTTTACATATTGGAGTTCTATTGTACTTGAACACAGTGCTTCTATGGGTATTCATCTCCCACCCTCAACAGTAGTTTATGCCTGACGCTAAAAGAAAGGCCAGAAACCAACAAGTTTTGTACATCAACCATCAATATATTCTCTTTTGTACATCACCACCAATGAAGGCTCTCTTCCACAGCTTCCATGCTGTCCCTCCTCCACATGTTGTATTAAATGCAGAACAATTCATACTCCTTTTAATTACATGCCTTGATTTTTATCATATGGTGCCAATATGAGTACCACTTAAGATGCAAATTCTGATAGATGGAAATAAAGCTCAAAACTTCACATTGGAGAACCTACAGAGGAGCTGATGCTTTCTGAAACCTGGTGCTCTCAAGTGAGGGACTACTCAATATAGGCTGAGTTCAGAACAAAGACACATTGTCCAGAAACAATTGGTTGTGAGAATAATATAATTCCCTGATTTATACTAGCTGAAGAACTATTCACATGAATAAAAGACTGAAAATTTGGGCAAGAAATGCAAAACACAAATGAAGGTATGTTTACATAGTTCTGGGGAAAGGGGATTCCAGCTTAGCTTATTTTCTTGTATTTAAAGATAAACGAGATTCTTGTAAAAGTGGCTTTCTACTAGTGTAAGAGCATTCCTATCTGTAAGCCACTAAATTAAAGAACTATAAGACAATAGTGCTTTAAAACCTGAAGTAAAACTACAAACTGACCAGCCACAGGATGCAAATATTCCAAAGGGTTATTTAACTGATCCTGTTTCCAATATGTTTTGTGACACTTGTGGGAATTGATCCTTTAAGACTTCTTAATTTCTAACGTATTTTCTAATTTCCACTCTGTTTGGTTCAGGGTAGGTATTTAATAACATGAAGAACAAACATAAGTGGGTCAACAGCTTCTGATGACAAAAGAGAAGACAGCAAGCTGGAGCTGAATTCACAAATCTTGGCTTTTTTTAAAGAAGTGTTTCCTCTTCTTTTTAATTTGAAGGATGTGCTTGAGTTTCCTCTGGGGAATAACCATTTGGAATAACCATTTGGGATAGTCTCAGAACTCTGGGCAGCCCCTGTGCTGGGCTCCTGCCTGCAAACAGCAGCTCTTCTGCTCACTGCTGTGCTCTCTCTCCTCCCCCCCCCCCCCCCCC